GTAAGATTCTGTACTGTCCTGTAGGGTTCTGTCCTGTCCGGTAAGATTCTGTACTGTCCTGTAGGGCTCTGTCCTGTCCTGTTTGGTGGCAGTTGTAATCAGCTCATGGACAGTGCTTGGTGTTTGGTTTGGCGTCTCTGTGGGAGCAGATCGCTGAGGCTTCTCCTGTGGAGCAGATGGTGGGTTTGAACTAGTTTACTGGAAAATCTTTTCCAGTCTGAGGGAAGTCGTAAAAATGAAAGGACAGAGTTGTCCTTATCGGGATGCGTACGTACAACATCTCATAGTCTATTAGGTTCAACCCCGAGTCCGCATTCTAGGGCCTCCCTGGAAGTGATCACTCAGGTCCCCACCTCCGTCTCCCCTCATTGGGCACCTGTGCTCAGAGGGCATTTCGCAGTTACTGGAGTGTGTGCTGTTTGCAGTGAGAGGCTTCCTAAGAAGATGTTGCATTTTGGGAGCTGAGCACTTTAGGAACAGACGAGCTCTGATCTTCCCCAGGTGATGCTCCAGGAGCCCGTTAGCACGTGGTTAGAAGCAGTTTTACTCGGCACACCTGGGCTCACATGACTCAGAACTGGTACTACTGCAGCTAACAGCAGCACCAACCAATCAGTGGTCAGGAAGAGGTACATTTATGGATGCCCGTTCCTGGCTTCCTTTTGCCCCTTTTCTAATTTATTTGTGTGTGAAGAGGACCCTCTGCTAGGCCGTCTGCCTCAGCCGACTGCCGCTGGGTCAATCCCAACAGGTAGCACCTCAGTAGGACAGGGTGGCACAGCTCCGTAGGATCCCCAAGCGTGTAAATCCCTGTGGGAGTACTACTACCCTTAGGTGTCTTGGGACTCATGTGTTTACCGTTTCTGTCCCTAAAACCAGGCACAGCAGTGACTCCAGCCCACTCTCCCTAAGCCAGGCTGGGATTCACTAGACTGGTTCAGAAAACTACCCTGACCCCTAAGAGGAAGACTGCAGCCAGCCAGTCTTTCTGTGTCTCTGACCATTAAGCCTAACTTGTTTCCATGGGAGAAGGGTTCAGAGATGACGGAAGAGTGTATCTGTCTTCCTTCTGAGCTTGTCTGGGAACACTAGGCCTGTCAGGAGGAGAGTGGACAGAGCCATGATGATGGGCATCTGGACTGGCCGCCCGAGGGCCACACCAGACCTCAGGGAGCGCTGATTAGGCTCATGTCTGATGGTGGCAAGCTGCCTGCAGCATCCTCCGAAACCTCGCTGCTGGGGAGCTGAGTCTGGCTCTGCAGTGACCTTGTAGGACAGAGGGTATCCCCATAGGGTTTCCAAGGCTGTGATGTTGGTGGAAGCAGACTGCAGAACAGCTGGTGGATTTGAACTCCTAACCCTTTGGTTAACAGCAGACACGCTGGCTAGCACATTGCTGCTGTTGTTGAGGGCTCCAATTCATCGTGACCTTGTGACAACAGAACAGAGCCCTTCCCAGGCCTGGGCCGGCCTCGTGACCTCTGTTCCTGTTGTTGCACCAACTGTGTCAGTCTGTCTCCTTGAGGGTCTTCTTTTTCCCTGACCCTCTACTTCTGTAAGCATGATGGCCTTCTCCAGGGACTGACCCTTCCTGACCACATGCTCAAAGTATGTGAGACAAAGCTGCACCATCTTTGCCTCTGAAGAGCTCGTGCCTGCACTTCCTACAATAACAGACTCACTTGTTCTTTTAGAAACTCCCAGGAAACCACCTCGATGCCTTCGTCTCTTAGCTGACCCTCCAGCAGGTATCAGAGGCTGTAAATCTCACGGGAGGCAGTGGCCCATCTTTTTGCCAACAAAACTGCCAGAGATGCTTGGGCTTTGGGCTAACCACCCACCTCCCTCCACATTATACCACCAGAGCATTCGCCATTCTTCACAAACACTGCAGGGACATCTGTTCTCTTTTGCTCTTCCACGGTCATTGTCAAAGTCTATACTAATTATCTTAGCTCCTAATAATCAACTATGAGGAGAAGCGTGGCGTTAGGATTGGTGGACGATCTATCAACAATCTGCATTATGCAGATGACACAACCCTGCTCGCTGAAACTGAGGAGGACCTCATGTACTTGCTGCAAAGGGTCAAGGACTGCAGCCTTCAGTATGGACTGAGGCTCAATGTCAAGAAGACAAAGATTCTCACCACTGGACCAATTGGTAGCATCAGGATGGATGGCGAAGAGATTGAGATTGTTCACAGCTTCAGTTTGCTTGGCTCCACAGTCAACCCTCTTGGTGCCAGCAGCCAGGAAATAAAAAAATGTATTGCGATGGGAAAGTCTGCGGTTAGGGACCTCTCTAAAGTACTCAAGAGCAACGGTGTCTCTCTGAAGACTAAGGTCCGCCTGATACAGGCCATGGTTTTTGCAATCACCTGTTATGCATCAGAGAGTTGGACAATGACTAGGGAGGATAGAAGGAGAATTGACGCCTTTGAGCTGTGGTTCTGGAGAAGAGTATTAAATGTACCGTGGACTGCCAAGAAAACAAACAGATTCATCCTAGAGAGGGTTAAACCAGGCTACTCCTTGGAGGCAAGGATTCTGGGGTTTTGTCTGACATACTTTGGACATGTTGTAAGGAGAGACAGGTCCTTGGAGAGGGACATCATGCTTGGGAGGATGGAGGGACAGCGCAGGAGGGGAAGACCCTCTATGAGATGGATTGATTCGGTGACTGGGGTGATTGGGATGGGAGTGTCAGAGGCAATGCGATTGGCACAGTATAGAGCAGGGTTTAGGGCTGTTGTACATAGGGTCGCTATGAGTCTCAAAGACTCGACGACACATAACAACAACAACAACAATAATAAACTTGGAGGTTTGAACCCACCCAGCAGCCTTCCAGGAGGAAAGACCTTGGAATCTGTTCCTGTAAAGGTGTCCTGGAAAGTTCTGGGGGCAGCTCGACTCTGTCACATGGAATCATTGTGAGTCGACAGCACGTGACAACAGCAGGGACCAGCTGGTGGATTTGAACCACCAGGGTTTTGGTCAGAAGTTAAGCATTTAACCACTGTGCCACCAGGGCTCCTGTACCTGCACTGCTTCCAATGGAAAAAATATAAAAAGACATGTATTCTCACTAAAATTTTTTTAATGGGCCTCTAAAACTAAGATTACATATTTCCCCAAGAGGAATTTTATCTAGAATCATCTAGAAGGTTTACCTCATTCCCGACTGAGAAGGCAGGAAGGAGAGGGATCAGTGATGATAATACTCCCCTAACCCCCATTACTCCCCCCCCCATACACACATGCGTACATTTTCTTACTGGAAATTGAACAGATGCATCCAAGTTTGCATAATTTGTCTTTAAATGATTATGAAGCCTCTCTGAAGAGCACAGACTTATTTTTGTGACCATTTATTAAGTTCCGTTTCTGTATGAAAAAGAAGAGCATGGGAAGAGTATGTGAGATGCTCGGAAGCATGACTTTTGGTGGTTAAACATCTGCTTTCTGAGACACTACTATTTTTATTTACCAACTTATTTGGTAGAATCACTGAGCTTATAAATGATGTTAAAGGAAGGAAAAATTCCTCCAGGAAAGAGAGATGTACCACTTCTCCTTTTTGGCCCATATCTAGCAATTTGATTTGAACTCCAAAAGTTGAATGAAGGAAATGATTTTCAGTTAACTTGTTAAACATGTTAATAAGTTTGGTGGTTGCCTGTCTCTTTATTCCTATGGCATAAGAATGCTGTAGGTGTACTGCAATCCCAGAGGTGCACGGTTCAAATCCACCAGATGCTCTGCTGGAGAAGGAGGAACAATCTCCTCCTGTACCAGTCAGATGTGATTTGATGGTACACGCACACAAAATAATAAAATAAAAATTTAAAAGAATTCCACTACATATTTGTTAGACATCTAATATTATAATGCATAATAAGATATATGGTGTATAATGCACAAGATAAAAAATGTTTAAGAAGATAAAACATTTCTGGAGACTCTTGGCTCAGGCCTGCCACATGCTGGAGCACCAGTGGCTGGGACCACATGGGTTCCTCACTCTGGACAGCGCCCAGCTGCTGCTGAAGCCTAGAGTCCCACACAGACCCACGGCCTCACCTGATAGACGGGAGTACTTAAAAGGGCTGCTGTGTAATTTGGGGAGCACACCCAAATCCCGTCTGCCAGTGGTGTGATTTCTGCCTTGGTTGAACTTTGAATCCACTTTGAATTCTTGTTAGGAGCCAAGGTAGAGCTGCATGGAAAGCTGGCAAACCCTTCTCTTGCTCTAATTGGTGTGTTACCAAACAGACAATTCTGGATCATTTTTCCAGCATTCATTGACCAAAACCAAAACAAACAAGGAATCACACCCATGCCCCACGCGCCTTTCTGACTCCATGGGGGTCTGTCCGTGTGGAAGGCTGTAGCGTTTACAGAGGCGCACGCAGTCTCACGTTCTATGCTGAGGGCTGGCATGGTGAGTCTTCTCAGCCGAGGGCCTCGTGGGTTCTTCCCTGCCGAGGGCCTGGTGGGTCTTCTCTGCCGAGGGCCTGGTGGGTCATTCTCTTGCCGAGGGCCTGGTGGGTCTTCTCTGCCGAGGGCCTGGCTGACCTCCTACGCCAGACTCACTGGTGAGTGTGACAACGTCCCGTGGGACAGAGGCCAGAATCTTGTTTGGTTTTGTTTTTTTGTAATAACATTTTTATTTTTTACTGATTTATTTACAAAAGAATCTTTTCTCTTTTCCTAGCTTTTTTATTCTCTCTTTTAAAGCATCGATTTCTCCATTTCCCTTATTTTTTCCATTTGTTTTCATCTTTTACCTTTGCTCCTTTTCTCTTGCTTTTATACACTTTTCTCTTCCCTGTTTTTTGTGTCCCTATTTTCACCTTTTTCCTTTTCTACCTATTTCTCCTTCAAAGTGTTTTATTCTCTCTGTTGTTCCTTTTCTTCTTCCCTTTTCTTTGTCTTTTTTCATTTCCACTTTTCTGTTTTTCTTCCTCCTTCTCCCCTTTCTCTTCATTTCCCCCCCTTCTCCATCCCCCTCCTTCCCTTCACCCCCAGGTGTTTAAGGCGGGTAGTGTGTCCACTGCGCCCAGGGCACCCCTGCACAGCTGTCCATGTGCTGTGTCCCTCGGTCCACAGCTGTCCGTGCGCTCTGTCCCTCGGTCCACAGCTGTCCATGCGCTCTGTCCCTTGGTCCACAGCTGTCCGTGTGCTCTGTCCCTCGGTCCACAGCTGTCCGTGTGCTCTGACCCTTGGTCCACAGCTGTCCGTGTGCTCTGTCCCTAGGTCCAGCGCTGGAACAGGGCAGCATGATGGGCTCACAGAAGCTGTCTGCACCCACACCGAGTGGCCGGCCCTCGCCTGCGCCCCCAGCCGCCACACAGCCCCCTACGGCCGCTGTGCCCGGACCCTCTGCGCCGCCCGCAGCCCCCGGGCAGCCGTCCCCCATCATGCAGCTGCAGCAGAAACAGAGTCGCATCAGCCCCATCCAGAAGCCGCAGGGCCTGGACCCCGTGGAGATCCTTCAGGAGCGCGAGTACAGGTAATGCATCGCGGGGTGGGCTGCTGGCTGGTCCCGCAGTGCCAGGAAGCCTGGTGAGCGGGTCTCACCAGAAACGCGCACTGATGAGAGCGATTTTCAGATCAAAGCCATGAGGAGTGTGGTCCCCGGAGGGACGCTCCAGGGGCTCGGGGCAGGGGTGGTGCAGTGGTGGCGCGGGGGTAGAGTTCTCGCCTTCCACGTGGAAAGCCAGAGCTGGAACCCCACCATTGACCCCATGCACAGCCCTCACCTGTTGGTAAGTGGAGACTCAACACACCACTGTGGTGCTGAGCTAGTTTCAGGAATGCTGTCAGGCCAAGAGCAGAAAGAAAGGTCTGGTGATCCCCTTCCCAGCCACAGCCAGTGAGAAACTTATAAGTCACAAAGGTCAAGATCCCAGCTGACGATAGGGATGGAGCAGGACCAGCCAGCCTTCCATCTGCTGGGCGTTGAGTCACCGTCAATTACAGCCCTCCCCTGACTCAGCCAGAAAGTGCATACCCCCCAGGCCTTGCCGTACGTCCCCCCCCCGAGCCTTGCCATACCCCCCTGGCCTTGCCGTACCCCCCGGCCTTGTGGTACCCCCCCATCCTTGCCATACCCCCCCAGGCCTTGCCGTACCCCAGGCCTTGTTTGGCGCTCTGCTGACTGCCGGGCGTTCCAGCCGGAGTGCATATGGATTCAGGAGAGTTGGTGTTTTGACGGTTAGGTTGTGGGTTGTGGCCTTTGTCAGCAGGTGTTCCGAGGGAAGGCAGGGAGGTGCTGAGGCGCTGACGGTGTCCTATTTTCCTGGCCTTTGAGTTGCTGGCTCTGAAGCGTGCTGAGGACCTTGAGGTGTATCTGTCTTGTGGGGATTGCACTTGACCCTGAGCTGTGCTCAGGTGTGTCATGCATGCACGCTTAGTTTATTGCAAGGTGGTCGTGGTACCTCACACACAGGGAAGACCCCCCCAGACGTTCTTGTCAACCTGGAGCATCAGGATTGGGCCACATTAGTGTGTTAATTAAAGCCCAGCTCTTGAGCCTTCCAGCGTTGAGAGGGTGGCATTGGAAGGAAGGGCTGTCCTGTCGGTCATCCTCAGCCCAGGTCCTTGCAGCTAGATTGAGGTCGAATGCAGACAGCAGACTCTCTGGCAGTGTCCCTCTCCACAGGGACAGCGTCCACCTGCAGAGCTTTCGGCCTCTCCTTGTTCTCATTGGTGGGTTAATTCCTCCGGTCTTGTATGATTAGGGCCTCATTGGCAGCTGTGGCCTCAAGTCCATGGCACACGATGGAGCCTCCGGCAGGTCCATCTCCACAGGGACAGAGTCCGGCCGCAGAGCTTTCGGCCTCTACCTTGTTCCCACTGGGAGAGCAAAAGCCCAGGTTTGCTGTGGGTTCCGATAAAGGTCCCCTAGGCAGGATCCAGCTCCTAGCAAGTGTGTGCAGAGTAACTCATCTCGGGTTCACAGACAGGGCTGCACGTGTGGGGTGTGAGAGGCAGATTCCGCAGACTGAGTGTCGCTGTGTGTTACACAGCTGCCTGCTGGGCCGTGTGCTCACCTGCGGCAGAATTACGCTGCCGCATAGGTCAGCCCTCGTGGCTTCTTGTTGTCATATGCCATCGAGTCACCTGCGACTCCCGGCGACCCTGTGTGCCATAGTGCTGAACCCTGCCCTGTCCTGAGCCAGTGTCCCTGGCTGGCGTGAAGCTCGCGGCTCCTGGTAAGGAATCGCGCTGCTTTGAACCCACCAGCTTCTCCAGGTGGGAAGATGAGCATTCTCCTCCTCCCGGGCGGTTGGCCCCGTCTTGATGGAGTTCAGCAGCAGTGACCCCGGCATGCAGCACTCTGTGCAGGGAGCCGCTATTCAGAAGAGGACGCCTCTCAGGCAGTCCGAACCCTCTAAGGCTCCTCAGGAGAAAGGGGGTCCGTCTCCTCCTATGCAATTTACAGCCTCCAGAACCCCATGGGGGGTTCAGCTTTGAGTTGGTTCCCCGTCAGCAGCCGCAGTAAGTGGAGCTGACTCTCTTGATGTGATTCCTGAATAAGCGAGTCGGAAGCGTTGGGAAGTCGGTGGCGGCCAACTATCACTCAGCTGCTCTAGAATTCCAGCTTCCAAAACCAAACATCTCTGCTCTGAAGTCCCTGTGGTCTCAGGGTCTTTATTAACCAGGGTGAACCGCCCGGGTAACACTCGCATTTTGCACCTAGAAATGTCATGTAACACAGTGGACTTTTATTCAGCCTGTCCTTGGGTGTTTTCCTCCCATGATTTCTTTTGCTGACCCCCCACATGTCTTTATCTTCTTCCTGCCAGGAGTTTAGCTGCAAACCTTCCTTAAAGTGAGCTCACTGAGCACCTTTCTCGACGGTGATCTCAGTGGTCAGTCTCCTGAATATACACCATGTTGTTTCATGTCTTTGAGTCAAAGAGGCTGTAAATTACACAGGAGGAGTCTGCCTGTCTTTCTTAGGCAGAGTAACTGGTGGATTTGAACCTCATGCCTTTAGGTTGGCAGTGCAACTCCTTAACACTCAGCCACCAGGGCTCCCTGCACACTGTTACACAGTAGAGTTGATGTACTCTGTTATTTCAAAGTAACTGTGTCTGCCATTCCTGTATTTATAAGATAGATCTATCTATATGTCTGTCTGTCTGTCTACCTATCTATCTAATCTATCATCTATCTATCTGTCTTCTATCATCTGTCTATCTATCTATCCATCCATCCATCATCTATTATCTATCTTCTATCTAATCTATCATCTATCTATCTAATCCATCCATCCATCATCTATCATCCATCTATCTATCTATCTATCTATCTATCTAGCCATCCATCTAATCTAATCTAATCTAATCTAGTCTAATCTAATCTAATCTAAGTGAAAGGAAGCTCTGGCAGTGTTGTTCACTTAACCGTAAGGCTGCTTGTTTCCTGTGGATTGAACCCACCGGCTGCCCACTGGGTTGAGAGGTGGGCAGTCTCCTACCATTGTGACCAATAGGCTTGGACCCTCACTGGAGGATGACCAAGAGTCGCAGCTGACTTGTCCATAGGCGGTTGTTCATGGATGAACCCAGTGGCTACCGCGGTGGCCTCAGTCATGCCGCGATGCAGATGCTGGCACGGAAGCGAGTGTGTATGTGGGCTGTGACCCAAGGGCACACGTATGGGCGGTGGGGGAATCTGTGGCTCTGTTCCTGCCTTCAGGTGGGAGACCTGGCCCCTGTACCCCAGAGGAGCCACCACTTGTCTGCTCATGGGGGCTTGTGTGCCGACAGGATGCTGGGCAGGTTTCAGTAGAGCATCCAGACTGCGGCTGACCAGGACACAGATTGTCCCCAAATCAGCCAGTGACAACCTTGTATCGGGTAGTCTGATCCGGTCGTGCATGGGGTCCTTGGCAGCAGCTAACGGGATAGTGTATACGGCACCTAGATGTGTCCTGTGTACACGTTACACGTCCTTCAGTGACTGGTGGATCTGACTGCCAGCGGGCTGCAGCCTCTCTCTTGGAGTCAGCACTGCTGTTCCCTGTGGACTGGTGCCAGAACTCCCTCCCTGGGGTGTGTGTGTGTGTGTGTGTGTGAGAGAGAGAGAGAGAGAGAACGCACTCTGGCAGCATAGTCCTATCTGTCTGTCTATCTATTAATATATCATATCTATCATCTATCTATCTATCTGTCTATCTTTTATGTGTCCATCTATATTTAATATTAGGTGGTGTTGTGTTCCAGAGAGTCGGAGCCCACCCACAGCTGACCCTCCCGTGGGTTTCAGATGCAGTTAAGTGCACAGGAGGAGATTGTCCATCCTTCTCCCATGGAACGGCTGGTGGCCTTGAACCACCTGCATTTATTAGATATGTGTCCATATGTTAAACATTACAAGCATTGCAGGAGGTGATGAAACAGCTATTTCCCATCTCCCACTTCTGTGGCTTCACGTATCCCTTCCTGTTATAAGGTGGTATCGCCTTTGGAACGAGGGATCTGGATCTGGTCAACCTCAGTCGCACAGAGCTGGTGGGTCCTCTGGCCGAGAGCCCCCAGGGCCGTGTCTGGAAGAAGCAGAGGATAGGAGTGTAGGCATTGCAGGGCCTCTGCTGTCTTCTGTAGTCCTGGAGCTGGTCCTGCCCGGTGACAGGTGGTTCTGCCTTAGAGTTGAGTTGAATTCATCCCTCAGGCCTGTTTCCATGAAGTCCTCACCTGCCCTCCTGGAAGCCAGGAGAGAGACGGTGGTCCGTTTGGCGGTCTGCGTGGAGGGACCTACCTGCCTTGGTTTTGGGTGTGAGGAGGGCCTGTGTCCCTTCCTCAGTGGGTGGACGTGAGCAAGCTTTCTCAGGAAACCTCCTGACAGTTTGACGGACTTCAGCGAGTCCTGTCAGAAGTTCTCCGGAGGGCACTCATTTTGTTTCTTGGGTTGTTATCCTGCATTTACCTTGCCTGGAAATGGAAAGAAAATGGTCAGCGTCTTAATTTTTTACATCTTTCAAGCCGCTTGGCTGCTCTTCCTTGTTCGTTAAAAAAGCTGAATTTAGGCAAATTGGGCTTCTTTATCCTCTGGCTGCATAACTAGGCTTCTGCATGTGGACGCTTTGTCTCTGATTTGCACAAGTTCTCCTGTTGAATTCATCTCCCCCCAACCGCCTCTCTGTTGTTTCTTTTTCTCTCTAATAATCTTTCTTTTGTGAGGGGACTTTATTGCTTTCCTCTGTAGTAAATGCCAAAAATACGTTTCCATGTGTATTTTTAAATATATTTATTTTGGTTTTAATTTTATTATTTGTGTGTGTGTGTGTGTGTGTGTGTGTACTGTCAAATCGGATCTGACTGGTACAGGAGGAGATTGTCCCTCCTTCTCCAGCAGAGCCTCTGATAGATTCGAACCGCACACCTCTGGGATTGTAGCTCAGCTTCTTGCCACGAGGCCACCAGAGCTCGCCCATTTATTTTTAGCAACTTCTTCCTGTCCTCTTTAATTTGCACCCACGCCTCACCCCGTGCCTTATGT